TGGCCATCTCATGAGAAGAGAAGACTCCTTGGAAAAGACCCTGATTTTGGGAAAGTGTGAAGGCAAGAGGAGAAGGGGACGACAGAGGACGAGATGGTTGGACAGTGTCATCGAAGCGACCAACATGAATTTGACCCAACTCCGGGAGGCAGTGGAAGACAGGAGGGCCTGGTGTGCTCTGGTCCATGGTGTCACAAAGAGTTGGGCACAACGACTAAACAACAAAAATGGAAGATAAGAACATAGGAACATAAGAAGAGCCCTGCTGGATCAGGCTATCTAGTCCAGCTTCCTGTATCTCATAGTGGCCCCACCAGATGCCTCTGGGAGCACATGAGACCACTAGATACCTGTCCCCTGATCCCACTCCCCTGCATATGGCATTTGGAGGTCCCTTCCTTCGAAGCCTGGAGAGTCTGCATCCCCAGCAAGGCTTGTCACCTTCGATGGACTTTTCCTCCAGAAATCTGTCCAATCCCCTTTTAAAAGGCATCGAGGCCAGATGCCATCACCACATCCTGTGGTAAGGAGTTCCACAGACTAAGAATACGCCGGGTAAAGAAATATTTTCTTTGGTCTGTTCTCACTCTCCTCTAACATGCTGGTATAGCTTTCTGATCATCTAAAATATATTCCTTTAACAAGTGAAAGGATGGTTAGCAGATAATCTTGTTTGCTTGCAGTCTAAGAATGTTGGATTGCATTCTAGTGTGAAACTATCAACTCAAGTTGCTTCAAAACAACTTGAACAACGCCTTGTCTGTCTTCCAACAATGATACATTTTCAGACAGATGTGTCAAGACGGAAGCTATAAGTATATATGAAAAACCAATACATAAATGAATATTAACATAAATAAACAACACTGCAAGAACCTGTATAGAAAAAGGTTATATGGTTCTTTGGGGCAGAGGGAATTCTGCATCTGTGTAAATAGAGAAAGCTCAGCTCCCTACACTGTATGTGGGTCTCTATTCTGAATACAGTAGGATCCTCATATCTGCGGGACCGGTATCCACAGTTTCACTTATTTGGGGTGTGCCTTTGTCCTGCCCCCTCGTGGCTTTTATCCTGCCTCCTTGTATGATGTACACAGAGTTTGCTACTATCTGCAGTTTAAGGCTTTCCTGACAAATGGCGGGACAGATCCGCACCCCCAGATACAGAGATCCTACTCTACTGCACTGAAATGTTCACGAGTGGGCTAGTTCTGCACATTGGCAACTACTTGACTTGCAACTGGTAGCGCACCAAAAAGCCGCATTTTCCATGTCACACTGCGTTTGCTGTCCTTCTCCCCATTTCTAAACGGAAAGAACAAGAGCTTTAGAAAACAAGAGCAGGGTTCGGCCATACCTGGACTCGTGAGTGCCCCGAGGGCGCCGGTCGTGGTGGAGAGAGGGTTTGCGTTGGTGCTGGTCGCTGAGGTTTGGGCGGCAGCGGCGGCAGCTGCGAGAGTCGCCAGGTTCTGGAGCTGCAAAGCGTTCATACCTGCGGAGGGGGAAAAATAAAAGGCCCTGGAGCAATGAGGTTGGTTACAAAAATCAAACAATGATGCATTTTTTTTACTTCAAATGAATACAGTCCTGTCCAAGAGTCAGATGTCCAAAGTTTGGTATAATTGCCAGAGTCTATATCATTAGGCAAAGGTAAATGTTCCCCTCGACGTTTAGTCCAGTTGTGTCCGACTCTGGGGGGCGGTGCTCATCCCCGTTTCCAAGCCGTAGAGCCAGCGTTTGACCGAAGACCATTTCCGTGGTCACGTGGCCAGCGCAACTAGACACGGAACACCGTGACCTTCTCACTGAGGTGGTACTTATTTATCTACTTGCATTTTTGCATGCTTTCGAACAGCTAGGTTGGCAGGAGCTGGGACAAGTGACAGGAGCTCCCTCCGTTGTGTGGATTCGATCTCATGACTGCTGGTCTTCCGACCTTGCAGCCCAGACACTTCTGCGGTTTATCACACAGTGCCACCACGTCCCTATTTCATTAGCGTCCACCGTTAACACATCCCCAAAGGTTTACCTCACTCTGATCTATATAGACATCTTCTCTAGCACTGTTGACCTACTCTGTCTGACACTCTCAGGAGGGGCTGAACTGTAGCATCCTTCTGAGTTGGGGTAGACAGACCTGTCAGTTTACAATCCCTGCTAATTTCACCCATTTTGTAACTCTGCTGCATCCTCTTTTTGCAGCAACTTTTTCAGGCCAGTGTGGGTGGGCGATAGCTGTGTTATTCTCTTTGCGGCAGTAAAACAAAATATAATCCGAGAGTCTTGTAGCTCCTTCAACCCTAACTACTTTACCTGGGCACAAGTTCCCACAGTTCACTTCATACAAGCACATGCCAAATAAAACGTGTCCAGTTTTATGGGGCCACAAGCCTCTTTGCTGTTTTTCAAGAAAAAAACAAACACGTCACGGCCATTAGCGCTTAAATTTCTCAGAGAACGAATGTACAAATGTTATTTTATTTTGGAATGCCTGAACTGCCTAAGCGAAGAAGCGCACTTTACACTAGAATGTGCAAAGAATTTGTACTTTGCACCTTGAAATCCTTCCAGAATCTGAAGGGGAAGAATTGCACCCAACCCACACATTATTTGGGAGGTTCAGGTCCTTAAGCTAAAGATAACAGATGCTTACTTGAATCAAAGCATTTGTGCCACCACTGTGCCATAAATTGTCCCCTCAGCTATGTTCCTTTTCTCTGTTAAAGATTCAGAAGCCATCACCCCTCTTTTAGAGCTGACTTTGGGTCATAATAAGAGGCCCTTCTCTGTGGCAGCGTGAAATCAGGCTGGCCCTCTCCCTTTTTTATCCTTCCACCAACAGCTGAAGACCCATCTTTTCAAGCAGTGATTGAGCCCCTGAATGCTGTTCTTAAGTTAAGGCAGTTTTTTTTTTAAATGCTTACCTGCTTTTAATTATTCAATTGCATTTTAATTAGTGTATAGTAGAATTGCTTTTTTAATATTTAACTTGTTATGTTTTAAATTCTACATTTTTAAAAAATATTGTGAGCTGCCTTGGGTCCCCTTATCTGTAGAAAACAAAAAATAACAACAAAAAACAAAAAAACCCAAAATAAATAATAATAAAGATAATAATAAAGTTAAATTGCCCCACTTGTACAGCAAACTGCTTGTCTATGCATGTGCCAGACACAGAGCACGCCAGCATCATCAAATCAGAGGGAAAGTCTAGAAAAGTCCCATTCTAACAATGTTGTTATTTAGTCGTGTCCGACTCTTTGTGACCCTCTTCGTTTGTAATTAATATGGTTGCTGTTATTTCAAATTTGTAGTTACCACTATTCACCCAAATAACCTTTTTCAAGGTTAAATTAACGATCCAAGCCTGCCCTGCAACTCTACATAACATTCAATTAATTTCACAACTTTTAGCCTGTATCTTGTCTCACACTGTTGACCTTTTCTCACCCTTATTCAGTTCCCCCCCCCATACCCTAAATGCCCTAGTTCATACCCCTGGGGGTACGTGTACCCCAGGCTGGGAATCACTGTACTAGGGTTAAAGATTGATCAGAAACATTTGTGGACACATCTTTTGAAATAAGTTGAGCACTGGGGGGAGCCATAGGCCTTTCAGTAATGTCTTGGCCAGCGCTCTTAAGCTACTTGAGAAACTTAATAGAAGCCTGCAGGAAAAGTAAGAGGATGAAGTTTAAATATCCTGGAAAGAAGGGATGTCCAATGTGGACTGGAGCAAGAGTTTCTTCAGCGCATCTGAGACAATGCAAAGTTTCAAAGCTTGGAAAGGGTCTGAGGACTTTTCAGTTGTGATGCCAGGACCCAGTCGAGTAAAAACTACAAATTAAGACTGAACTATGGTTTAAAGTCCAGCATGAAACTCTAGCAGATACTGCTTAATAACAGTCTAACACTTAACTAAATTGTTAATAACAATCTCGCAAACATTGCAGCATTTATGGAGTGATAACTTCTGATGTTTTCATGTCTTTCTAAATCTCTTTCACAACACATTTACAGTTTGTAAATCCACTTGTGAGGGATTTAAAAGGTGGATTGGAAATTAGTTTGATAGAAATTATAATTAATACATACAGGATCTCTGCGGGACTGTTTACCTCCAATTCCCACTAAACTAAAGACTTCTTTAGCTACCTCTTTAGGTGCCCCCCCCGAGCTGCAGCAAGAGCAGTTGATGCTGGTGACACTGATATCAATAAAGTACTGAATCCAGTTGGGACTTTAGTCTAATCTTTAGGGGAGCTCTCCAACGTGCTGGACCTATTTGGAGGATAGGGTTCAGTCTCATGGATAGCTCTTGTACAGTGCTAGCTAAAACCTGGAATGGATGCCCCGACACGCTGGCACCGGAGCCCCAAGGTTCTGCTGCTGAAGTGGGAAGGGCTTGCTAAGTGGTGGGTTCCCCTAAGGTGAAATGTTCTCTCCCTGGAGAGGTTTCTCTAGTAGAAGGGTCACACAACAGCACTCATTATCCCTGACTACTGGCTGTATTGGTTGGAGCTGATGTGCATCTCCCAGCTCAGTGCATTTTATAATTTCGCCATGAAGCGTTTAAAATCCCCTGTCATATTGTTCAGTGCTTCTTTTTAACTCCGCTGACTGTCTGCATCCTGCTCTTTTATATTCTAGCATCCTTGTTTAAAAGTTTATGCTATTGTAAATTTAACTTTTTGTTAAAGAATACCTTTGAAGAACCATGTCTCTTCCTATTAAAATATGAATGCGAGGGTGAAGAAAGAAGAGTTTTTTTCTGTGACTTGGGACCAAACAACCAAGGCTCCAGCTAAGAAAGACTAGGAGCCCACTGGCTTCATGGCCAGCGTTGCAGCTTGGCCACTCAGCTCCTAATTCTTTTTGGGACCCTTTTATTTCCATTTGGCCAGCTTCATAAATCTGCATGGTACGTATGGCTGCGGCCAAGCCCCATTCCCCAGCAGGACGCCCACTGTGTCCTCCTCCGATGTACATGCAAGCGTTTTCTCCCTTTCGCTGCCTGTTTGCCTGGCTTTTCTGGGTGAGAGAACAGTAACAGGAGCAAGGAATGGAAAAGGAACCCACAGACATTATTAATAAAGAATTAGGGACGTGGTGGCGCTGCGGGCTAAACTGCAGAAGCCTGTGCTGCAGGGTCAAAAGACCAAGCAGTCGTAAGATCGAATCCACATGATACAGTGAGTTCCTGTTGCTTGTCCCAGCTCCGCCAATCTAGCGGTTCGAAAGTATGCAAATGCAAGTAGATAAATAGGGACCACCTCGGTGGGAAGGTAACAGCGTTCCGTGTCTAAGTCGCACTGGCCACGTGACCATGGAAGATTGTCTTCGGACAAAACGCTGGCTCTATGGCTTGGAAACAGAGATGAGCACCGCCCCCTACAGTCGAACACGACTGGACAAATCCCCTGTCATATTGTTCAGTGCTTCTTTTTAACTCCGCTGACTGTCTGCATCCTGCTCTTTTATATTCTAGCATCCTTGTTTAAAAGTTTATGCTATTGTAAATTTAACTTTTTGTAACCGTTCCTGAGAATCTGTTGAACCGTGCGTATGTTAATCGAACAAATAAACCCTTTATTTTAATAAAATATACACCTAAACCTTTGGCTCCACAAAGTAAACTACTGAGCTATCATATTTACCTATGAAGAATCTGGCTTTTCTTTTCTTTTTTTTTTTAACCTCTCAAGGATAATTTTTGTCACTTTTGACGGCTGAGCAAAATGCAGAACGACTACTTGGCTGAAAACGAGCGACAGTCAAAGGGGATGGGAGTGAGGTAAATGTAAAGATCTTATAATTTCTAGGGCAATGTCATGCAGCCTAGATGCTTGGAATCAACAACTTGGCATTTTCTCAGGTAATACTGCCCCTTTTCATTCCCGAATCTCCCATTTCTCACATAGCACAGGGCTGTTACTGCTGTCTGCTGTTTTGGTTTTTTTCCTCTCCCTCCTCTATCCCACAGCAGACCCGGATGGAAAAGAATTTGATCATCTTTCTTTGAAACTGTTGAACATTATGAAAACGCAAGGCTCTCTGAAGACATGCAAATCATTTAAACTCCAAAGCACAGCCTGATAGACAGAGTGACATTATAAAAAAAAAAAGCAAAGAAGAAAGAAATCGCCAAAAAAACACAAAAAAACCCCACCCCCAGCCCTCTCTCTAACAGGAATGAGATGCTGGGAATGAAATGACTCTTAATCTTTACGCAGAGCAAAATGTTGTGAATAAAAGGGAAATTTGACTCTGCGTTAGATAATCTGTAGATACCAGTAAAGCGATCAGAGTTGGCTAATATTCTGGACAGCAAGAATCCCAACTTTGATTTCGCTGCTTGATGGATTAAAAATACAATTAAATTATGTTCCTAACAGATGCACAATATGCCTGCTTGAAATGTAAGAATATTTTGCTTTTTTAAAAAAAGCATATTTATAAGGAAGAGGGGGCCATGAAAATTTAATTTAATGT